CTATGTGGAACAAGCAAAATCAAAAGCTTTGAGGCATTAGCATCGGTCACTCTCAGAATTCGTTGATTTTATGATTTCTGAATTCACCTGGTTGGAAATAAGCCAAATCCGGGATGTGAAATATAATATGCCTACGGTTTGTGTGTACGAAACAGTTACCTGGATTCTTGCTGTTATCCCTTCTTGTTTTACTGGCATTACCTATTATTACCGGTATTATTGCTGGTTATTACCTGGTTACTTGGATCCGACCTAAAGTACGGTCTTATAGGTTACATTCGTCTGCCCATCGCAACCATTTTCCCTTCTCAGCTCAAAAAACCTGCAAGGAAGGGTGCAGAATGAGTCAAGTTTCCAAGGAGCATACATTTAGCGTTCTCCTCATTAGTTTGGCCGTCACAGTCAAAAAGTCTACTTTATGGCCCTTGAAAGTCCTGCTGTCCATAGAGATACCCTCCCTTTCAAAAAACGAGAAGAGCGTCGGGTGCAGACCATACACCACAAGTGACGACGGCCTCCACAAAATGTAAATGTTTTCTGCCAATGAAATGATTAGCCTGTTGCAGTTGTATTCTATCAGTTGTCACTAATTACAACTATCATTTACCAAATCAGCTATCACTATGAACCACTACTAACCAGATTTACTTGGAGGCCGTCGTCACTTGTGGTGTATGGTCTGCACCCGACACTTTTCTCGTTTTTGAAAGGAAGGATAAGTATTTGCATACTCAGCTATTGTACAGCAGTTATCAGTGTTTGAATTCCAATTGGAGAGCTACAGTAGTATCATTGCAAACATTACTGTCGGTGACCATCATTATCTCGTAGCTTCTGAACTATTGATCAGGAAACGGTAAACCATGGGTGTCTGTTGACGGAACGTCTGTTGAAAATTGGCTACTCTGGCATCGATTAGTCCATACATAGTTCGCTGTGATTCACTGGATTCGGCGGTCCAAGGCCGGACGGATTCCATCGCCATCAACTGCGTTACTGTTTTTGTTGACCACAACAAGCCAGTGTTATCAGAACAAGGACTATAATAGGGACTAGTTAGGCCTTGAGGGATTTGTTGGACCTTATCCTAGCCGCACTTGGCCTAATGTTTTTCGTTGATCCTCTCTGTTAATGCGGTTGATTACCATGTTGATACCTTTTTATCTTCCTTGTCTTGTTATCTATAACAATTTCTTTTCATTCCTGATGCTTTTTCTTTCATACTTTTTCTGCGGGACCTCAAAATTCTTCTAAAGCCTCTTAGTGACAAAGATTTAAGCGTTGTAAGAGGCCATATTTAGAGCTCCAAGGAAAGAAAAGGGAGCCGATCCGCCATGAAGGGCGATCGCTCATGTGCCTGATAAGGCTAATTACAGTCGTAATGCACGGGGCAGCACTTTTTATCAGAAAAGAAGACAAACAACTGGGCCAAGCGGCGATTTCCGGTTGCGCAACGTCGCAGTGGCAATAACTCTTATGCTATACTGCACTACGGGGCAATTTTCGAATTTCTTCCCACTATTACTGTTTTTGCCATTATCCCTGGGGAGCTGCTTTCAAAC